CGTCAATTAACCGACCGTATACGAGAAGAGGTCGACGGCACTGGATGGTATCGAATGGGTAAATTGCTGCTCAAAATAAGTCAATTTGACAGGGCTGAAGAATTATATACAGCACTACTAGAACAGGCATCCACCGACAGTGCTAAAGCATATATCTATCACCAGCTTGGATGGTTGAAAGACGACCAAGGACAATACAAAGAAGCAGCTTCATTTTATGAGATGTCTCTCAAAATTGAACGAAAAACTCTCCCGGAAGATCATCCTTCATTGGCTCCTACCTACAGCAACATCGGTCAAGTATATAACAACATGGGTGACTACTCGAAAACACTTGAATTTTACGAAAAATCACCTAAAATCTACGAAAAAGCTCTGCCTTCGAATCATCCCGAGTTGGCTGTTTCCTGCAGCAACATTGGTCAAGTGTATAACAACATGGGTAACTACTCGAAAGCACTTGAATTTTATGAAAAAGCACTTAAAATCTTCGAAAAAGCTCTGCCTCCAAATCATCCCGATTTGGCTTTGTCCTACAACAACATCGGTGGAGTGTATAGCAGCATGGGTGACTACTCGAAAGCACTTGAATATTTAAAAAAAGCACATCAAATCTTCGAAAATGCTCTGCCTCCGAATCACCCTCTTCTGGCTTTTCCATACAGCTGGTTCGGAAACATTTATCACAGTATGAAAGATTATCCAAAAGCACTTGATAATTTCGAGAAGTGTCTCTCAATACGTCAGAAAGCCTTACCTGAAAAGCATCCATATCTAGCTGTAACATACAGTGATATTGGTGATGTTCATCGATTAATGGGTAATTATGAAAGGACACTTGCGTTTCACCGAAAAGCATTAAATATTCAAGAAAATATTCAATGTAGTCCTCTTCAGGTTGCAACGACATATATAAATTTAGGTGAAACTTATCGTGAAATGAAAGATTATTCAAAAGCATTGACATATTTCGAAAAAGGATTAGAAATACGTGAGAACAAACTACCAAAAAATCATCCTGATTTAGCTGTTGTATATCATAATATGGCAAAATTATATTTGGCTACACAAAAATATAGTATGGCAATGAAAAATATTCAACAAGCAGTTGAAATAGCTCAAGAAAAATTACCTTCAACTCATCCTCATCTTTTGGAATATAAAGAAACATTTGAAAAAATTCGAAAGAAAATGTAATTTATTTTGTTTTTCGTTTACTTGCTGAATAAATTGGTTTTGATTCCTTTCCACTTCTCGAGTTTTCTAGGCTCATTTTCATGCGTACGCACGCGCGCGACCAGGGAGAGGCCCTATGCATATGATACAGGTACACACAGAGCGGACCACGCCGGACTGGTAGCGCAATGTACATAGGGTACCGTACATAATGACGGCAGGGACCTACGTACATTAAAAGCCTTCCAGAGTACTACACTGCTTTTGGCATTCCATGACAAACAGAATCTCTCTCTGGATCAGGTTACGAAGCCACCTGATAAGGCTGTGATATAAATTGGTATCTATCTTCTAATATAAATAACATCGACTTAGCATAATAATAATAGTATACACTAAATGTGTACAACAACGAAGAAAAAAATTATTTCATCCGAAATAAATCATCTATATCTCATTCTAACATTATCTCAATGTAAATATTGTTATGAAAATTTAATTTAGAATTGTTCTTTCAAGAAAACAAAAAAAACGTTTTTTTTTATCTGTCAACTATTAATTTAGTTGTTCAAGTCTTTCTCAAGATAAATAAGATAATTTTCGAAACATCATACCCATTCTTGTTATTGGTATAAATCAATAATAAATCATATACTTTTTTAACATTCTTATGTTTTTTTGTAATTTCATATAATTCAAAAAAAACAGATGAATTTTAAAAACATCGTAGAACAAATTTCTATCATAAATCAATATATCCTAGCATATATTATCATTGAAATCAAAAACACTGTTAAAAAAATGAATCATAATATAACATCATTGAACGAATGAATTTCATTACAAATTAATGCATTGTAAAGCAATGAATTTAAACAACATCATTCAATAAATTTCATACTAAAATAATACATTTTATTATAATATGATTCAATGAATGTCATTGTAAATTAATGAAGTTTAACATAATATCATACAATAAGTTTCATTGTAAATCAAAACATTTTAATACATCATGAAATTGATAAATTTCATTGTAATATAATGCATTTATTGAATTGTACAGAAATGAATTTTAATAACACCCATCCCTAGATTTCGTTCTAAAAAAAAATGCATCATTATATAATATCGATCAATAAATGTCATCGGAAATTAATGTATTTTAATTCTTTGCGTCCCAAATTATTTCTGCTGGACACTGACACGTCCAGATAAAAACCAACATATTCGCATACGGATTCACGCACGCACAACTACACACACATATCTACTAATTCGATACTCACCACATCCACACTGTTGAACATTCTTTATTGCTACATTTCAGTAAATTACATAACAATTATTAAACATGTATAGATTTCTTTTTCCTACTATAGAATTCAAAAGGTTAACATAACATTATGTAACAAGTTTCATTATAAATGTATACATTTTCATGCATTATAAACTCATATGTAGCATTGTAAATATATTTCATTTATAATATTGTAAATAGTTATAAATTGATAACTGTATGTCATTCATGAAAAATCATAATGTAAAATAATACTAATTATTGTAAGTAATATAAAAAATTGTAAACCGTGAAAAATAAATCATGTGAGTGTCATATTTTATCTTTATTGAGCATGCTCATGATTTGTTCGATCGAATCGTATGAGAATACTGGTGAAAATGTGTTTCTTATACATATGTGTTCAAACATACACATTGTCAATCAAAGACATTCTAATGTTGATATCAATTTGACGAACGATAATTGACGATAATGTGCACATTCAAATATAATTGATTAATCATCACATGATTAATTGACATGATGAGACACGAATCAATTTCATTGTTTTTCATGTGCATGGATGTGGATACTTGTCCTTTGTTCATATACAGTCCTTCATGGACAATACATATTCGTTTCTTTCTTTTTTTGGATCAGAAGAAATTTCTATTCATCATCATCATCATCGAAAAAACAAAAGCAATCAATGTGAATCATCAATCATAGAATTATTTTTCCGTACGACTTTTGAAAATTGATTAGAGTGCATTATTCAAATGAACATATTCGTTATCTTAGAAACACAAGATCAACAAGTCTGTTGAATGCGGCTGTACTGTCATTACATGAAAACTCGTTAAGACAAAGCCAAATAATTGTATAGAAAATTAAAAAGTTTTCATAAGATTCGATTTATATTCCAGCGAATGAATATTTCTGTTGAAATCAAATCACTAATATCGAATTGAAACTTTTAAACGAGTATTATTATCAATTGAAACAAAATTCTTTATTAAGAAAAAAAATTGAAAATAAGAATCACTTCAATACGTTTACTTGAAGATAAATTTCGATTTCACATGATTGATTTGCTGATATATTATCAATTTTTCAGTTGAATATTGATAGTAGTAAATAAAATATGCATACATGATTCAATCTGAACAAACACTATCAGTAGCACATGACTTATTTTCTGTCAAAAACCAATTTTTGTTTTCGTCAATATTATTATTTTTATTGTACTCGAAAAATACCTAAGGAGCGAGCTCCTATCGTTCGATTCCTGTGAAAATACTTTTGACTTTAAAAATTAAGAAATATTCTCTCAAAATGTTTCGTCGATACATGGAATTAGTAGATGAAAGTCCTACAATTGAAAACTTCTTTGCTACTAAACTGAAAGAGGAATGATTTTCTTTAAAAAACAATTTAAAATTAAGGAGTTGGTTTTACTTTTGAATAAGTAATATTGTTATTCATTCATCAGATATATTAATTCGATCATAGGATTTCCGTCATGTTGTTTGTTCTTGTTCATATGTAATTATTATTGATGGATATGAAGCAACAGATCGATCTTAAAATTTTCTTTTTTTTCCTAGTAAATAAGAGTTTTTACTGTCTGCCTTGTTTTTCTATTATTAATAAATGATTACTCAAGTTTTTCCACAAAGAATGAAAAAAAAACTTTAATGTTGTTTTTTTCAGATCCATGTAAATGAATAAAATTTCATATTCTAAATGAAAATCATTTTTTTTTATATATTTAAATAAATCAACGATGAAATTAAATACTGCTAAATTAGTCATTTACAAAAATTCATATAAACAATCATTTAACTTAGACTATTATCCCTTCATATAATACTATAAGTGATTAGCTTTTGACTCTTGACGCCTAACATCGTTGACAATCTTCTTACAAATATAAACTAATTTTCAGCTAGAGTCGAGTTTGTTACACCAGTTAGAATTTCATTTAATTAGGTTGACGGTTGCCATATCATTCGTGCAGATCAATAATCAACACCAGGAAAGAAAACTTCTATTGATTTTGAAGAAACTAGAAAAAAATTATATCATAAAACAAAAAAAACAAATCTTGATTACATACTGTTTTCGTCTGTTATAAATATAACCGATTGACTATATGTATATCCTTTATCTATAGAATCTAATGAATCACAACGAATTCTAGCAAATATTCCATTTATTGAATCAATTCCAATATTTGCTGATGATAAATTATTAAATAATAATTCTGTTTTTAATGATTGAATTCTATTCATTGGTTGTAACAGACGAGAATATTTCATTTTAAAGAACTTTGTCAGAACAGATAACAAACGTTCAGTAGATAAAGTCATCTATAGCATTTTCTAGAGCAACTCGTGACGTATCAAGTAGTAATATTCTGGCCAGCCATACACCCATTATTGAATGTTATAGGATTGGTCACTTTTGTCCTCAGCAACAGCATTCAAGAATTTAAAAACTTCATTAAAACCAAAAACTACAGATTCCAGTAAAAATATTAAGATTTCGAATAGGAAAAAAGGTATTTGTCAAAATTATTAGATATACACAATTGAAAAACTATATAAGATATCTATTTTATATATCTTAACTGATCGAGTGTGATTGGAAAGGTTTTATACGACATGTTTGTCCATTTTTGTCCCACTAGAAAGGATTTTCAACGAGACACTCTTGCCAAATATGAACTTAGAAATTTCATTTCAATTTTTACATTTTCACTATTATAATTCGAACCTAAACGTTGAAATCGTTATTTAGATGTTACCTTGTAATCTACTTTTTGACTGAAAATCGTGTTATGTTGAAAGCATCTATTCTACAAAAACGGTATCGATGGTCAACTAACGTTTGTATTTGATAAAGTCTATTATGAAAAAATAATATTGATTATGCAATAATTATGAAAAGACTAGAAAATATTTAATTGAAATTTTTCCTTTTAGTTTTAAGAAACTTATTTTCTTATTTACTTGAATATTTTGTCTATTGTAAATAATAACTTCTCATTTGAATCTAAACAATATATCATAAAATATTTTTTTTCTACTAGTATAACTAGGTGGAAATTTTGTTGCTATAGAACATTTTCAATCAAAACATTTTCTAATTTTTGCTAATAAATTATTTATTTTTTTGTATGCTTTTAAATTAGGTTCGATTTCAATTATTGAACTATCAATGAAATTCGATTGTGTGTTATTCATTTTAATACCATTCGACTTCATAGTCGATTAAATAACCATTGATGTCAAATAGTTATTGCCAATTTATGTTAAATTTTCTAGTTGATCAGGAATTTGGAAGAAAAGAATTTTATCACAAGAAAGGAATAATGAATACAATTTCTATATGAGCCTATTTGAAAAAGTAAATATTTAGCAAAGAGAAAAACAATCAATTATGTGTTTGAATCTTGGAAGATGTAAGGTAAAATTGTGATGAACTCAATGCATTATGAACACTATCACGAGCTGTCTTCTTTAGATTCATTTTACTAATACGAAACACATAAACTTAAGAATTTATCTTCAAAGATAATCAACTAGCAGAAAAACATTCTATCTTTCCTTATTTAGTATTGCGACTGGAGATATATTTTGTTATGAACTTTTTAACAATTTGACAAATTTCCTTTATGTATATATTCGTTTGATATATTCATAACGACATACCGAAACTATTATATTGATTAATG